TACTTAAAACATAAATGCAGGGTAAATATCAGGGAAATAGAATAAATATACTCCATATCCATTTCACAAAGCAAACGGCATTCCAACCCCAGGAGATAGTAGGCTGGTAATCCAGCCTAACCTTTGTCTGGCACCTTTTCTGTTAGCCTGTCACCTAGCCTAGGGGAGTTAGAAATGGGGGATTAACAACTTGCCCAGTGGATGACCACAAAAGGTGCTGTGCTACTTCACTTGGATTGCTATCATCTCTCACAACTGGATTAATGAACCTTCAGGATTCTGTAGCTGCTTCTCCCTAGTGCACAAAGGGTAAGATCTCAAAGGACTGGCAGGGTGTGACTGCACTGAGTACAAAGTATGACCTCAGTAGGCACAGGGAAGAGCCTTAACGTCTGTTCACACCTCAATCTTCAAAAGTGTGACATCAGCAGGAGGAGAGGAGAGAGCCTCAATATTTGTAAACCCTACAGGACGAGGCAAGGAAAGGGGGGAATCCTTCTACTTCATGGCCATTTTGTCCCCTTTCCTTCTTTCTCTAAATAAACTACTTTTTTTTTAATTTTTAGGCAGTTGGGGTTAACTGACTTGCCCAGGGTCACACAGCTAGTCAGTGTCAAGTGTTTGGTCTGAGGCCACATTTGAACTTAGGTCCTCCTGACTTCAAGGGTGGTACTCTATCCACTGTGCCACCTAGCTGCCCCTTAACCAAACTATTTCTCCTACAGCTTTCATGCTTACAATGACTTCCCTTTTTCTTTTCACCTGTTGAATTCATATTCAACCTTGACAGCTCAACTTAAAAGATTTCTCAGGGGGCAATGATTTTACTTCTCAGAGCTCACATCTTGGTTTGCACCTCTCTGCTGCACTGACCATGTAATATAGCATGTATTATGATAACTTGTTGATACATTAGCCCTTCATTTATTTCATTCTAAGCTTCTTAAAGAATGGGCTATACATCATCTAATCTTTGCATCTTCACTAATACCTTACTGCATACACAACAGGTGCTTTCTGCACTCTGTGTATGTACGCATGTATATACACACACATATACACATGTATACATGTATGTACGTGTGTGTATGGAGAGAGAGAGAGAGAGAGAGAGAGATGATTTGGGGAGAACAAATGGCTATGAAACAGTTTTGATATTGAATAATCAATACCATTCCAATGCATAAATGTAGTCTCTATTAGTATGTGTGTGTGTATGTATATATATATATAAACATATGTGTATGTACACACATGTGTGTATATATGTACATGTGTGTGTGTGTATGTATATATGTTTGTGTATTGGGGGGAGTAAAGCAATCAGGGTTAAATGACTTGCCCAGGGTTCAAATGTTACTACAGTGAGAGAGAAGGTGAATTATTGCTCTGTGTTTACCCTTGGAGGCTTTTAGTATCACTGCTAAAATATTACAAGGTATATTTCCAGCTAGAAAGAGCTTTTTTAAAAAATTCACTATGCTTATAACTTTTGGGTTTGTTTGTTTGGTTTTTTACTGTTACCACTGAGGGTAGTTTTCCACCATGAATTATATAACATTATGATACAATGAGTGGTTCTAACAGTTTGTAAGAAGTGGCAAATCCAGTCCCTTCCAGAGGCAGTGTGTCTGCATGTTACAACTATAAAACTCAGTTCCCTGCTTATCCCTCCTTGTTTTTAGCTGTCACAAACATATATTAAGCAATCACGGTTGAACTAAAGTTATAAACAGGTAGGCATTTTCTTAAAATACTCCTGAATACCAATTCTGTACTCAGTATTCAAAGGACTCCTGCGTTCCTGTATCTATCCAATGGAAGTTGCCTAAAGTTATAAATTTGCTTTAAAAAAAGTGCTTACTTGAGTGCTCCAAGAATATAAAGTTTATTGGTGTGGATACTGCTTCTATTGACCCAATTTGTTGTTTTTGTTTGTTTTAATAGTGTCATGAATTTCTGTCTTTAAAAATGTATTCACTTGGTAGCAAATCTTCTGGTGATGGGTCTCTGTGAACTAATCTAGGCTGGTCTTTGAATTGGAAACACACATGAAACCTTTTCCACTTGGTGGGATCTACAGGAGTTGACATTTGGTGTCTTCCACAATCTTCCCAAACTGTAAGGACAAGGATAAGATGTTGGAGTATGGCCTCTTGGGAATAGACAAAAATACAAATGAAGTCATTCATTTGCAGAGATTATTCCAAGGTCTTTTGTTAATTGAAAGCAGAGGGGGAGCTATGTGGTGCCTGAGGAACCTAAGCTTTTAATGATAGGCCTGCTTATTTAATGGATCATAGCTCTAGAGCTTGAATCAATCAATTTATCAACAAGCATTTATTAAGTGACCGCTGTGTGCCAGGCATTACATGAGATGGTAGACACTAGCCTAGTGACTTCCTATTGCCTCTAGGATAAAATATAAACTTTAGTGTTTAGCTTTTAAAACTCTTCATGACCTGTTCCATCTTATCTGCTTAGTCTCATGATATATTACTCCTATTCCTATATTCTGTGATACAGTAAAACTGATCTCCTTGTTCATTACATACAGCACTCCATCTCTCATCTCTGCAGCTTTTCACCAGCCAGCCCTTATACCCCCTTCTTCTTCTTGTTGTCTAGTCATTTCCAACTCTCCATGACCCTATTTGAGGTTTTCTTGGCAAAGATGCTGGAGTGATTTGCCATTTCCTTCTCCAGCAAACTTTACAGAAAAGGAAACTCAGGCAAATAGGGTTAAGGGACTTGTCCAGGGTCACACAACTAGTAAGGGTCTGAGGTTTCATTTGAACTCAGGTCTTCCTGACCTCTGGGCCAGCACTCTATCTACTGTGTCATGTAGCTGTCCCTAAGGCTGGAAAGGTAATTTGAGGCCAATTTGTAAAGGGCTTTAAGAGACAAACATTAGAGTTTGTGCTTTATTCTAGAAGAAATAGGAGGCTACTGAAGTCTCCTGAGTAAAGGAGTCATTGCAATAATTGAAAAGTAAATGTGTTGATGGACTGAACTGAGGTGGTAGATGTGAAAGTAGACAGAATTGGTCAGAGATGAGAGATTTCTTGGAATAAAAACAGCGAGGCTTGGCAATTGATTGAATATGTGTTGTGAGGAAGAGTCAGGAGTCAAAGATAAATCCAAGATTAGGAGCTCTCCTAAGATCAGAAGAATATTTCAAAGAAATAGGGAGCTTGGAGGCTATCTAGTCTCTAATGTTACCCTTAGAACTAGAGAAATTAATTGACTTGTCCATGATCAGACCTGTAGTGACAGAAGCAGGAGCTGAACCCATTATCCTGACCCTAAGGTCTGCACTCTATCCACTATAACTCCCTCTCTAACAGCATTGAGGTAGCACAGTACCTAGGAGGTCTGGTCCTGGAGTCAGGAAGATCTGAGATCAAATATGGCCTCAGATGCTAAATTGGTAAACCTGGGCAAGCCATTTAACCTCTTTTTGCCTCAGTTTTCCTATCTATAAAATAAGGATAATAATAGCACCTACCTCATAGGGTTTTTGTGTAGATCAAATGAGATAATAATTGTAAAGATCTTAGCACAGTGCCAGGCACATAAGAAGTACTGTTTAAATGTTAGCTATTATTTTTTTATTTTCTCAAGAACTTCCACAGGTTGTAAAACCTCAGAGGTGGCATTTGACCTCAGATGAGCTGACTCCAAAGTTAATACTCTTTTCTTCCTTTCAGTAATGTGTAATTACTGGAATCATTTATTTATCAATTTCTATTTCAAATACTCTGGGGCTCTACTGGAGCTATGATCTCCTCAGTTTGAATACTCCCTCCAGCAATACCCATTGTCCTTCCTTCATCCTTGCCTGCCTATCCTGAGTGTCTTGTTCATGGCCTCTCATAAATTCAACACACAATATCCAACACAATATCAACATACTGGAGGGCTTTCTTCTTTTCCATTCCCTTCTAAGGATATCAGTGGAGCTCTCAGGCTCTCTATCAGAAATCCCTAGTCTTAACCATGTAACCAGTCTATCTGCTGTTTCACTCTTATGCTTCTCTGATGACATCTGTTCTGGACTGGGCCAGCCTCAGGGCAGTGGCCTGGTAGTTCAGGTTCTGTCACTGCAAAAAATAAATAAAAATTTTAAAAACTTAAATGAGACACTCATAAGTCATTCAACAGTTAACAAAAGGAGATTTACTTAGCTAAGAAATGAGAAGGATATGTAATAAGGATAGCCACTGAGGACATGTTAAATTGATTCAGCTAAGTGATGTTCTCCTACCTAAGTCAAGTAGGCAGGTAATCTCCTAAGCATCAGAGAAATCACCTGTCTGTTAGCTTGACCATGTGACACACAGCCACATCCCTTCCCCACCCACACGGTCAATAAATTCCATTGGTTCCCTTTCACGTGCAGGACCAAATACAAAATCCTCTCGTGTTTGATGCTCTTCATAACCTAGCTCACTGCTCTGCCCCCCCCCTTTTTCATTGGTCTATTCTTTTTTCAGGGTGGCTGTTACTTATTATGGGTTGACACTTTTTCTTTTAAGCTATTTGTTTTCCTTACAATTCTTTCCTCTAGAGCTTTCATTTCTTCTAGTTATCCTTGTGGAAGATCCATTGTTTTTTCTTTTGATTTTTCTACTTGAAGTTTGTATGGTGTTAATCTCTAGCACCATGGGGAATATCTCTAGATTTGCAGTGATTTTTTTATATCAAAGAACATTTTTTTTATTATTATTCATCTCTGCAACGTTAGTTCCTGAATTGGGGCTTTGTGCCATGGCTAGGCTCTAACTTCTGCTGAATTTTGGAATGAGGTAATCAGTCCTGCTAACTCTTCCCCTGGGTCACCTGGGTTCCTGTAATGACTTTGTCCTCCCAGGGTTAAGCCATCTTGGATCTTTGAAAGTCAGAGACCTAGATCTTCGTAGTTTTCTATGGAATCTCAGCACATGTTGTTAGATACCTCGGAGCTCTGGGCTATCTCATTCTGATCCACAATCACCTTAGTTCCTGCTTTGTCTGCACTGGCTGCTGCCAGTGCTTTCAAGTGCTTTCAAGGGCTTTGGATTTACAACTGCTCTGAGGTTTTCTTGAGGTTTTCATCTGCTCTTGATACTTCCAGAGATCCCTATGAGGAAGAAAAGGTTTCTGTCCTTTTTGTGCTTGGGATGAGAGGTTATGGGCTTGTTTGCCTGTGTTCATGTTAGCTTTGATGGTCACCAACTTTCCCGTTTTCCTATTTCCTGTGATGCTGGATGACTTTGTGCACAGTTTTGGGTGGGAAGAAGCTACTCACTGTGGCTTATAATTGTGTTTCTTAATCATTATTTCATGTTGTGAATTCCAGCTGCCATGTTGGCCAGAAGTTTGATCTTAATTTCTTTTCTTTTTTCTTTTTCTTTGATCCCTAACAAACCCTGAGACAAAGTTCAGTTAATTCAAAATTATATTCAGTCAGGTTATGGGTCATAAAGGTTTTACTGCCATCATCTTCATTTTATGTATAGGGAAATTATATTGATGTAAAGGAACTTACCAACAGATGGGAATTAAGTAATTAGTCCCCACAATCCTAACACTCAGGTAACGGCTTCTCATTAGACTGCCTCATCTTATACACATTTCTTTATGCAATTGATCCCAGTGATGGGGGAAGAGGAAAAGGAAGTAATTCAGTACAGTTTAGATCAAAATTTAAATTGCTTTCCCTATGGAGTCTTTTAGGAATTCCTGCAGTCCTGCAAACAAAAGACACCTGATAGTCTCCTCCTTTTATCTCCTTTTCATTTGTTTCTTTTGGAAATAAATGCTAGTTGAACCTTCTTTTTGCTATCTGTAGTTGATACTTATGATTTTCCAAAGTGTACTTTCTTTTGTGTAATTGAAAGAAAGGACTATTTTAGATGGGTAGGTGTTCAGTCTCTTTCTTTCTTTCTTTCTTCTCTCTCTGTCTCTCTCTCTCTCTTCCTTCCTTCCTTCCTTTCTTCCTTTCTTTGTCTATTCTATTCCTTTGTTCTTATCTGTTTTTCCTTGTTCCTTATTTTTTTGCCTTCTGTTTTTCATTCTTCTTTGTTATACATGATCATTCCTTTCCTTATTTCACCTTAGTGATCTCTGTTTCTCTCCTTTCTTCCCCCTTTGTTATCACAGTTAGGCTTTTCAGTTGATGTTTTTTTTGATCATTTACTTGTCTTAATGGAATTACCACTTACTTTGGATACAGTCATTAGCTGTTTGCCTTAATCCCTCTACACAAGTACCAAAATAATCCAACTCAATTCAAGGTCTGTCCAGGACATTCTACTCAAAAACCCTTCATCAACTCCCTGTTGCTTCTAGGATAAAATATAGTCTCCCTCTAGCCTGCTTTTCTAGACTTATTTCACTTTCTAGTATGGCACAACCTTACCAATGTACAATATTGGCTATTTCTTGAACTTAGCATTCAGTCTCCCATCTCCAAGCTTTCACATAGACTATCTCTCATGCTTTCAATATAATTTTTCCTTGCCTTTGCGTTTTCTATTGCTCAACTTCTTTCAAAGTTCAGCTCAGATTACTCCTCCCTCTGGAAGATTTTATTAACCTCCCCTAGCTCTAAGTACTCCCTCCCTCCAAATATTATCATGTAGTTTATATAGATCTGGCATACCTCCTGCCTCCCAGTAGAATGTAAGCTCCTTAAGGGCAGGGACATTTTTTCATTTGTTTGTTTTTATCTTTTAATCCCTAGTGCCTAGTTGTGTCCCTTGCTCATAATAGGTGCTTCATTATGTGTTGAACAGAATGAATTCACACCAAACACACATTGGTTGTATTAAATTCAAGGAAACCATAGGCCTAGTTGTCATTTTAGTTAAGTTTCTTATTAGCAAATCATAGGATCAAAGAGTTATAGTTTAGAGAAGGGGAAATTAGAGTAAATCCAGTGATGTTAAGTGGCATCCAAAGTCAACACAGGTAACAGAATCAAGATTTGAACCTAGGTGCTATGACTCCAAAGCCATCATTCTTTCCATCACGCTGCCTCACAAAACAGTTGAATAATGCCACTTTTTTTTTAACCTCAAGTAGGAGACCTGTGTACTTTAATGCTGGGATTGATAGGGCTTTACAATAGACCTAGCTTTTACCACTTCAAAATGGGACCCCTCAGGTCAGTGCTGTTGACATTTGACTTCATCATGGCTTTATAGCTCTAATTGACCACCAGAGACGAACAGTTTCATCTGCCTGGAGCAAGGTTCTCTTTAGTGCTCCTTTCTATTTGCAGTGGTCCAAAAGCAATGCTAATGTGGGGTAAGGCCTGGGAATGTTTTCTAACCTGCTACAGCACTATGGAAGGAATTGTCTCTTCAGAACTCAGCAAGGCCAGTATTAATGTTTTCTTTGACTCTGGTGACCAGATTCTCTCAACAAAGATGACGCCAAACAATTTTCTGATCTATATGAAAACATAGGTAAGCACCCTCTGGCCAGTGCCGATGTACTTTCACCTTGAAACTGTTATGAATGCAGTGGGGGGAAAGGCAGGCCACTCTCAGACAAACAGGACAAAAGATTCAAAGCAATTGATTTAGTTCTGTCAGGATGTACAATGGACTCCTGCCTTTCTCATACCTTCCATATAGACCTAAGGTTTTGGTCCCGTATTCATTTCCCTACTCTTTATCTGTCTCTTCAGAGTGAATAGTCATCTGTTTGGATATTTTTTGCTCAACATTTCAGGAGTCTAGGCTGAAAGCAGGGGTCAAGGGGCTATCATTAGTTGGTGAACCCAAACAAAACATGTATGACCTCTTGTCTTGCTAAAGAATCCATAGAGACAATGTCTAAGGATGCACACTTATTTCTAGAAGTGGACAAGTGGAAGAAAGACTTAAATGACAAGATCTTAAATGTGACCAATGCAAGTCATTTCTAATCTAAAACAGACTTGCCATTTGTGATTATTCCACTAGAATATAAGTTATTTGAGTTCAGGAAATATTTAATTTTTTTCCTTTGTATTCCATAGTAGGCCCTTAATAAATACCTGCTGATTGATTGGAGTGAGGGATTATGGTATCAGAAGACATGTTTTTCTCCACTCAGAATGATCTTATGAATAACACAGCTGTAGAAATATCTATCTGCCTCATAGCATTGTGGAAAGTTACCTAGATATAAAAGCAGGAGACATGGTTTCAGCCCTAGTTTTCATTTACTCCTAGTAGTAACATATGGAACCCCTCTGAACCTCATTTTACTTCATCAAAAAAGGAAGATAATACTTGTACTGCCTAACCCCATAGGGAAAACTATTTTTGAACCTTAAGATGTTGTATGAATATGAATTAATAATAACATTAAAAAACTGGTAGCTGTACGTTTATATCTTTAAACAAAATACAGTTTTGGAAGAATAACAAGAACTCTTTAGCTCTCTTTACATGTGTCTCTCACCATTTCTGGTGTCTGTGTGACAGAGAAAATTTGGAGAGGTCTTACTGTCTACCTTTCATTTCAACCCATTGAACTTTGCAATTCTTTAATCAGAGCAACTCAGTAATGCTCAGAAATTGAACTTATACCTGATAAAATTCACAAATAAAGGTGATATGGTATAAGCTTTTCTTAGCACATGAGACATCATGAATAGAATATCTCAGTTTGTCAAAGTAGATTAAAAGACCACTGCATTAAGATATATTAGACCTGATTTCAAGGCCCACTTTAGTAGGTCACTATTGAGTCACTAACTTGTATGTGCACAAGTAACTTGGTTTGCTTCTTTGACACTCTATTTTTTCTCTGTATACAATGGGGAATAAAAACAGCGGCATTCCTTAGCTCAAAAAATTATTGTGAAAAAATATTGTAAAACTCAGATAAGAACACTTTTAAACCATTGCCTAACTGGTCCTTTCATGTCTCCTGAAATTCACCCTTTTTCTAGATCTTGAGTCAGAACCATAATCAAATTCACCATCTTTGATCCTGAAAAAGGTTGTTTAAATTCTACTCCCTTAATATTAGAAGGACTAGAACTTAATATATTGAAGGTCCAAATTGTCAGTTGGCATAGTGCTTTAAAAAAATCCATCAAGCAAAGAACAGAGAGATAAGCTAAAAAATTTAATTTTAATTTTTTTTTTGCATAAATAGATGAGCGTCTCCTTCTAATGTTAAAGCTCCACTCATCCCAGTAATTATCCAAACCAAAATATCTCCAGAGGCAAGCATATAGTTTGGCCCATAGTAAGTGCCCAACAAATGATTTTTCATTCATTCACGGGCTTATTCATTCATTCCTGCAGTGTTCTATATAAAGAGAAAAAATTACGTGAATAAGAATGGTATTAAAATGTCTTTAAAAATTAAAATAAAAAAACCCACTTATGTTGATAGGCAACAAGATAGAATTTTTCTCTCTTCAGATGTTATAATTTGTGATAGAAGTTAATATTAACTTAACTGCAAGAAAATCTTTAAACCACAATATATAATGAAGAATAATTTAATTCTCAAAATGTTTTCCATTGTATAAGAAGGTTCTCTCCTATCTCTAATTAATCACAGTAGGCCCAAAAATATAAATTGAATCAATCAAAAGCAATTGGAATTAATAAGTCCTTAATCAATTTGGAGCTCAGAATGACTTCCCTCTTCTTTGGAAGATTCCCTAAGGAATGCAATGATTATTTTGAGTTTTGAGAATATAAAAATAGTATTTATTATTCACCCAAATGGGATTGTAAATATCATTTGGTCCAATCTATTCAATTTTGTAGATGAGTAAATACATATTTAGAGAAATCACTTGACTCACCCAAGGTCATACAACAACTAAATAGCAGACGTAGAATAAAATGTTCAATATCTGCCAAGATCTAGGGGAGATGTGACATTAATGAAAATAAGTCACTGTCCTCATGACTCAATATAGCTGTAAAGGAGAGCTCATGCAGCCCAGGTCCCTCACTAGCTACTCATCTTGTGCAGAATTCCTTGGGATGACATGATGTGACACGCAGATACGATCCAAAATATCAGTATTCCACATGCCATTTAGATGTCTGGGAGCAATTAATTTTTCAGGTTCCTTTGGTACACAATTCCTACTGGCCAAGCAATGTCTGTCTCTCTTCTCTGTCTTCTTTCA